AGAAAAAAAAACTGAATGTGTTCAATTGCTTTATTCTTTCTCTAATTCTAAAAAGACTTCATAACAGAAATTTGGATCATAACATATTATGTTAATTAAAAAATACTTATTCATGGTCTTTTTTAGAGAATGGATTTTTGATGCATTGTAACATATAAAATTTTAATTCTGCTTGAATTTGCTGAGAATTATGTATTTATACTTATTATAATTAATATATTATATTAATATGTTATATATTATTTATTACATATATATTAATATATATTAATACATTATATAGTATATATTAATAATGAATAATACTTATTTATACTTATTATAATATTACTTAAATTAATTTATATAATTACTTATTTTCTGAAGCACATAGTACATTTTCAGTACTATATGCTTCAGAAGGTTGAATGTAAAACAGCTTACAGCTTTGAGGACTCAAAAAGGAGCAATGTCTCTACAGTGTAGAATTCAAAGACAAAGTTTCTTTGTTTTCTGTCTGTTTGTATTCTAATTGGTAATGAGGACATCACTGACACTAGAAAGTAGCACTGTATCCTTAAAAGGGAGAAAGACGCAATTAAAAGTGGTGGAACATGAGAGAGAATGAAAAAGATCAGCAGAATAACTCATATGAAACATTTCAGAAGTTGATTATTTTCTTCACAGTTCAGAGCCCCTGTTTCTTTCCCAAGAACTTTTGTGCATCTCATAAAAGGAAACTTCACACCTGCAAATGGAAAGCACATTGTTAGTGTCTTCTAGAGTTTGGTGTTCATTTTATTTACCATTACTATATGTAAGCAGAAGGAACATATAACTACTTGAGCATACAGTTTGAATGGCTCTGGTGGCAATGTTAATCCACTCACCTCACAGAAGAGTTCAAGGACCCTTAATGTGGGCTATATTCTATGTCACCATGGAGGTCACCAGGAGCAGAAACCTGCACTTTGGACCCCTGGACTTAACGTATTAAATAGGAGAAGCAGAATGAAGGAAAATGAGAGACACTCAGTCACTATTTATGACACTGCTAGGAGAAGAACTGAGTGAATGTGTATTATATAAAAAAAAGGGTTTTTTCTGACTTGTGAAGCGTAACCTAAAGTTGAAGATGGAAGGTACTTTTTAATCCTCCTTTACTACTCCTGAAGCAGAGAATGTGATTTCAAGGTACAGGAATTCAGGCCTTCACAGAAAGAAACAGTCAATTTTACTTATCTTCCTAAGCATTCTGTCCTGCTGCTACAGAAACCATCCTTCTTTTTTCATTCTACATCCTGTAACAGGCAGCTCTGACCTGTTTGAAAACAACACCAGTGCCCTAATATGAATATTATAATTCCACCAGTCTAAACAATTATTTGAGGGTGGTAATATCTTCTTTTACAAAAATGCTATAGTTCTCTTATCTATAGGATAGAAAATTACTAAAGGCCTTTGGATTTTAGAACTTTAGATTAAAATATTCTTTTTGTATATATTTTACACATTTCCTGAGAGTTATATATAAATCTCTAAAAATGCACATATAAAATCTTGGTAAGTGTAAAAAAATGGCCCCAAGTAACTCAGGGATTTAAAACAGCTGAGGTTTGCTTAGCTATTCATCATCTTAATCTATACAGTATTTGTAACTTCTTTGTAGTTTAATAACATTGATTTCAGATTGAAAGCAAATGTAAAGACAAAGTATCTGGTTAGGGCATATGATAAAAAACTTATACCCAAATCAAAATTTAGGAAGAGACTAATTATTTACATAATCATTGGGTGTCTGTACAAGTTATGGGTGCTTTCATGGTCAGGCTGAGATACTCTCTTTACTTTCCTGAATGTGACCTTCATGACCTGCTGATTCTCTGTCACTCAAAATTCACATCAGATGTGAAGGATACTGGTCACGTCTGACGGTTGTCTCTCTTCCTTGGTAGATCATCCTATCCTTTGTGAACTCTATATGGAAGATTACTCTCTCCCAAGCATATCTCACCTTACTTTCTTATGGTGTATGTTTATCCACTTGACATTTGCACTGTTCTGTGCACACCAAAGACACTGTGAGTAATATTATAACAAATAATTTCTTGCTGTCTTTGTGATAACATCAAGGCAGAGGCGCTCACTTGGTGTAATATTCTTTGAAACAATCATGCATATCCAAACTTGCATGATTAAAATGTATGCAAATCTGTATCACACCATTTTGCAAAAATTGTATATCCAATTCAGATGTATGGAGAGAAATTGTAAGAATATTTATCAGGTCTATTTATTCTGAAAACTTTTGGGTTTGTATTTTTTTTTTGGGGGGGGGGGGGGGTTGGTTTTTTTGTGGGTTTTTTTTGTTGCTGTTTTTTGGTTGTTGTTTGGTTTTGAGTTTTTTTTTTTGTTGTTTTTTTTTTGTTTTTTTTTTTTTAATGATATGTGAGTCATAGCTCCTATTAACACTGAGTAGGTAAAACGAAACCCCATTGTTACAGGTTTTCCAAAATGTTTGCTTCTGCTTCAGCAGTTCTACCCTGGTTACATTGAGATGGGAGTGTTACCTCTGATCTAAGGCAGGAATCGTGCAGGGCGTTTATTCAACAGTGCACTCGTGTGGCAAGACTCGGGAAGTACATAGATAATGTTTCACAGAACTCCTTGAATACAATGTATTTTTCTTATTACATAAGAAAATACAAAAAAGTTCTAATAGATTAACACAATGATGTTTCCCGGTACAATCCTTTTTTAAAAATTATTTGTTTAGCCTACTTTAATTGCATACCTAGAAAAAATATCCTCTTTCAAATACTTCTGTGATACAAGTCAGAGGTCCCAATAAAGGATATTATCTTGTTTTGTCACATGCGGGCCTTTCTTCACTGAAATTTAATTTCAGTGTGTTGACTCAATATCTTAATTTCTTTCATCACCATAAATTTCAATTTTTTACAGGAGATCTGAATATAGCTGAGATTTTATCACACCAAAATCTCTGAACACATTTTGTGGCTACTCAGCCTACGAATTGTATGCAGAATTATGACTACAAGTTGTCATATTCTCAAAGCAAGGCCACACATACAGCAAGAAGCAAAAACTTCTATTAAGCTACTGGCTACTGTTGCAGAGAGGATAAATGAGCCAGGAAGTGAGTGTTGTGGGCCAGACATCCAACAGGCACAAAACTTCTAAAAGAGCTGCCAACCTCATCTAGTTTTATTTAATTTACACTAGAAATTCCCACTGTTACTTGAATGGTTGCTTTCCTCAGTTATGTTTTTCCTACAGTTGATTTAACCTCCACACATGTTGCTGGAATCCCTCCACCACTCCTGTCCCTCTGATGATGACTCTCCACCTTCAGCTTGGAGTGGGACTTAGACAAGATGAACACTGCTCCTGAGATCAGTTACTAAAGAAAATACAACACAGCATTCCATCTGTTTTGCAACAGGACATACTGGTCCTTATGGTCCCCGTACAAGAAAGGCATTCAGACTCTGCAAAGTATCACTGCAAATGCAATTTCTTAGAGTTAACATTATAAGAAAAGAGAGAATGGTTATCCTACAGCATTTCAGATCCCACAAACCATAAGCAGTGCAGCATCAAAAGGATCTGTAATAAGGGTGCATCATGAAGACTCTGTCTGTGGAAGGGCTATCCCATGGTGATCATTCAAGCTATAAGAGGATTTCCTTTAAAAATCCCAACTTCATTAATAATTTCTACTGCCAGAGAGAATGTTTGCATAAGGACTTCTGGCTGCAGTTTTAGATAGAGGCAAGGCCATAGAGATGCCAGTACAGTGTGGGAGCTGCACACAGCTGCTCTAACAGTGTGCTGCTTGAATTTATCCTGTGGCCATGGGATATGCCCAGCAGAACACAGACCTAAAGGCCACCCTGTATGTGGCCACACTTGAGTTAACTATTGCATGGATCACTACAGTCTTAATGCACAATGATCCTTCCAAGCAGGTTCACCTTCCTGCAGTGTGGAGGCATTTATTCCCATTAAGGGAACTCCATCATGAGCAAGACCTCTGGAGTGGTCTCTGAAGAACAAGAATGCCCTTACAGAAGTAGAGGGGCTTTTTTCCTGCTCCCTTACATTCATTCTCTTCCCCTCTCTCTCCCTCAGCAGGGTGCCCTCAGCTCTTCATATAGTTAGGAACGTGAAGAGGAAAAAAACAAAGCCATACACAGAGGGGTGTCTCCGAGTGCTTTGCCGTGCTGTGGAGACCATTACAACTGTGGAGTTCCCTGGTTTCCTGGTGTCCCTTAGGATCTCTTACAGGAGTGAGATGGACTGGAGGAAACGTGAGGGGAAAGGTGAGAGGACTACAGGTGCACCCCAGGCCAGGACAGCGTCGTTAGTAGCAGCCTCCCCTCACAAAGCACCAACTCCTAAGGCAAGTCAGGCAGAAGCGAGTGTAGAACTGAGTGCTTTTGTGAGCTGCTGCCTCGCTTCGGCGGCTGAACACTTGAGGTGGCACACTTCTGACGAGAGACGACAGACCCGTTAGGCGGCAGTTTCCTCTCAGCCGCAGCAGCGCGGCAGCAGAGCCCCGCGGGGAGGCGGCAGGACAGGACCGCCCCGCCCCGCCCCTGCGGGGTTCGCTGTCCGACCCCGCCCCGCCCCTGAGGGGTTCGCTGCCCGGCCCCGCCCCGCCCCTGAGGGGTTCGCTGCCCGGCCCCGTCCCGCCCCTGAGGGGTTCGCTGCTCGGCCCCGCCCCGCCCCTGAGGGGTTCGCTGCCCGGCCCCGTCCCGCCCCTGAGGGGTTCGCTGCTCGGCCCCGCCCCGCCCCTGAGGGGTTCGCTGCCCGGCCCCGTCCCGCCCCTGAGGGGTTCGCTGCTCGGCCCCGCCCCGCCCCTGAGGGGTTCGCTGCCCGGCCCCGTCCCGCCCCTGAGGGGTTCGCTGCTCGGCCCCGCCCCGCCCCTGAGGGGTTCGCTGCCCGGCCCCGTCCCGCCCCTGAGGGGTTCGCTAACGGCGCACGCGGGGGGCGGGATGCGCCGGTGCTGCCGGCCGTGCGGGGGGGAGAAAGGGGCGGGTCCTGAGGGCGAGGGCGCTGTCCCCGGGCGGGCGGGGCCGCGCACCAGCCCAGTCGGTGCCTCCCCCCCGGCGGCCGCGTCCCGCCCCTCGGGCCGGCGGGGCGCTGAGCGGTGTCTGTGTGCGCAGGTGAGCCCGGTGCGGATGCGGCGGCCGGGCGAGGCGCAGCGCCGAGGTCCCCGGCAGGTGCCGGAGAACGAGCCTGGGGCGGGAGACATGGAGTCCGGCGGGGATCTGCCGGCGGATCGGCCCTCGGCCCTTCGGAGTGGGATGGAGGAACCTGAGAAGGAGGCAGATGATGAGGGAGGGAAGGCTGCCTGGCAGCAGAGCCTGAATCCCGAGCTGCAGCAGGGGTACCGCATCCTGCGCGAGTTCCTGCTGGAGAAGTACCGGCCTCTGACGGCGCCGTTCCTGAAGCCCCTCGCGGATCAGGCATTTTTCGGGGAAGAAGGCTCTGGCTCCCTCTTGGGCCGTAAGAGCAGCCAGTCCTTGCAGCAGTTGCCCGCTGAAATATGGCTATTGAAAATGGAAGAGAAATTTTCCAGTGGGCAGTACACAGGGATAGCAGATTTCGTGTGTGACTTCCGGCTCATGCTGGAGACTTGCTATCGGCTGCACGGTGTGGATCACTGGCTCTCCAAACAGGCCCAGAAGCTGGAGATGATGTTGGAACAGAAGTTGGCTCTGCTATCCCGGTAGGTGTAAAAAACTACAGGGGCCATGCCGCGTGTTCTTTACATAAAGTAGAACAGGAGAGTGTGTTTCTTTAAATTCCGTTAAAGGAAAAGAAGCGTCGAACAAAACCGGCAACAGAAAGAACACTGGAACTTTCAGTACTTTCATGAAGATTAACGTTTCCTACTGGGAACTATTCAAATCTTAATTCAAAATGCTTTGGAATTCCAAACCTCAAAATGCCAAATAGAGCACAGCATTTCCTGACTAAGATTTTCCTTCTGAAAGAAGCCTTTTGTGAACATGGAGAGACACTTGTTTACACAAGATGTCAAATGCTTCTTTCTTTATTTTATTCTGTCGTGAAACTAGCTAAACTCTGTATGAATATTTGGCTATTTGAAATTGTTATTTTTACAATCTATGAAATTTTTACCACCCTTAAAATATGTAGAAATAAAATACTAAGCCGAAATTACCTGCTTTGAAATGGTAATCATAATAATAAAATGAGACACAATGCTTGCCATACTGTAGTCTTAAATGGCAAAATGGAAATCATAATAAGTTGAGGGACTGCTTTCTTATCAGCCAAAGCAGCTGAAACATAGAAAACTCTCGAGCTGTATAGTAGAAAGCCCAGTTTAAATCACAACTCAAGTGTATGCTTTCTCATGAGCTTGTCATAGTTTAGTCATTATCCGAAAACCATGGTGGCTTCTTAGAGTTTCTGAATGACATAGTATTCTGCATGTAAAAACCAAGAGGTGTTTTCGGTGAAGGATGAAGGTAAAGAAGGAACAGTGCTGGGCAGTATGTAAAGCTGTGTGTGTCCATCAGTGTTATGTTTGCTAGTGACACACATCGTGAACTGCCAGCTGGTAAGAACCTTGCTCATGTAGGAAGAACACTTCAGGAAAGTGGTGCAGAAGTCACCCGAAAGAGTGAATATATTTAGTGCTGCTATAGCAAGAGTATAATTGAAACTGTTTCTGTGTAATGGCAGTTTTGGGACAGTTTGGTAGTAGAAGGGAAGGAACTGAACATAGTGGGGCATGAATGTTCCTAGTATGCTAAAGTAAAACCTGATTTAAAAAAAAAATTCCTGGCTTAATAGATTTACTGCTGGCAGATAAATAACTAAATGCAACTAGGAAGATTTTGTGTTCTCAAATAGCAATATAGGTATTTACTAAAAAATAAATTCAATTGCTTTTGTCATTCTTCCATTTAATGGACAGTCTTTTTCAGATAAGTATTAGGAAATACTGAACTGTCTAAAGATAATCCTGCCTCAGTATATAGTGAATTTGTCTTGTATTAACTCTTCAGAGATTTGTAAAGATTTTTTCATTATGTCTGTGTGCACTAGCTTAATAAAAGTTTCTAGGACCTGTAAGTGTAAGGGGATATGGAACCTAGAAGTCTCAAAGTTCTTTTACAATTTTTAATTAGACAAATTTGTTTGAAGTGTTTAACATAATTTTATTTGTAAAATGAAATTGAAGAACTAGTTCTTGGAACAATCGTTCTTATATTATTACAGAGTAGTGTTTAGGTCAATGATCCCTTTCAAGTGATTCAATCAATATTGGTTGTATAATTCCTGAGTACTGCAAGCCACAGCAAATTACCTTAGAATGGAGGTTCCTTTTGAATGGAGGTTGGATTTTTCTCCACTGTCCCTCTAATGTTTTCACAGGTTGTGAAAAACTCATTCAAGTTTTAATGGAGTCTTTTGAAGCAATGTAAGAAGAAATGTAACTTTGCAGACAAATTTGTAGTGTTTTGTCTTTCAGTTTTTGTAGTATAAAATAGGATGAAACTGGTGTTTAACATATGCTTCCCCTGCCTAAACCAACTAATAGATCCCCAACCCCCCCACTAATAGACCCCATCACCCAGTCCCCTATTTTTACGTATCTGCTAAAAAGGTTACTTTCTTATCTTAGGTTTTGTGGAAGTTTTTTCTTTACAAATACTTATGGACTAAGAGAATTCCATCTCCAAATAATATTTGGCAACTTGTGGTAAATATACAGTTTTTAACTGGTGTGAAAACATAGGTCATATTGTGTCTTTGATTTAAGTTTAAAATTTTATAAAGGAATTTTCAAAATAGAAAAAATGACTGGTGAAAAAATAACTGTTTTTTTCTGACTAAGCATGCTTGATCCATGGTTGGTAGGCTAGGCATTGAAGTGCCACTGGTACAGAAGTTTGTAGTTGTGAATTGGCTTGCTTTTTTCTTCTAGGCATTTAAGAGAGAAAACATCATTAGCTGTAACATCTAGAGGATGCTATGGGCAGGAGGATGAAAAAACAACAGCATGCATTTCTACAAGACGTCGTTCAACGCCTCGCAATTTAGTAGGTTTGTCAACAGGCATGTTTGAGTCTGTGATGGTTCAAGTTCTAAGACAAGAGGAGCAACTGAGAGCAAAAGAGGAAAAGAGGTAATGAGAAAAACTATTTGGTTTTAGTTTTAAATAGTTGTCTTCCTAGTTTTGTAAAGAGGCTAGCTCCTTATAGCTTTTTTAGGTAAATAAATGTGGCGCTCTTGTGGTCTCAAGCTCATGGCTTCAATACAGTGCATCCACAAAGCAAAAAATTGTTACCACTTCCTTGAAAAATTGCTGAGGTCATTTAAATTTTGAATTAAATTACAGCTGCTCTTATTTTAGTGTAGCAAAACTTGTAATATTAACTAAAAGTATCCACAGTAATTTCCTACTAGTGCATTATGGTTTGTGATATGTATCCTTGGACAGTTTTTCATGCAATAATTAGACTTAAAACTAACAGAATGCTTAACTACAGTCTAATTCCATGGTCTTGTCACTGCTTCTCTCACTGATGTTTTACTTTGAGGAAAGTGAAGCTTTGAAGTTTGTTTACTTTATCAGTAATTTGAGTGACTGTGTCTAAACATGGCTCATAATGGTAAGACAGTCATTGCTTCAGGAAGCAAAATGTTTCTAGCTTTTTTCAAAGTTTACAGCTTTGTAGACTTTTTCCTGTATGTGACCAGCTTGCTTTTTAATTTTGCAGGTCATCTTCTTTTTCAGCAGATTTGAAGCTGTATGTCTGACTTAACTGTTAGACTGTACTTTTTTTTCTGTAGAACTTTCTTCTTTCTTCCAATCCACTAATCTTCTAATCACACTTTGCCAAAGGAAAAAAAAAATCAAAGATCACTAGGGTTATTGTTTCTTTGGTAAAATTCTCTTGTTTTTTGCTCAACTCTATGTTCTAGAACTTGATAATAATGTTAATATGAAAAAGGATATTTTGATTGGATTTTAATTCATTGCTAGAGTCTGTAGAACAGTTTACCAAACAAAATAAAAATTACGCTTTCATACACCTGTTTTAAGTACATTGCTGCAAGACTGTAGGAATTAACTGTTAAGTCCATGTATCTGAATATACTCAAAAGCCCCAGATCCTGGACAAAAGATGGTAGATTCTACAGAATGTTTGTTCCACAATAACAGAAAAAGACCAAAAAAACCCCATAACTAGCTTGCCTCTTTACCCTAAAATTTTGAACTGTACCACTTATTAAGCAAAAAAAATCTGTCAGTAGATAGCTGGTTTAATATTTCTTTGGCTCTATTGATCTCTCTAAGTAATTATGTTTCAGATTTCTTCTCTCAGTTTTATTTCTTAATTGCACCATATTTTTAAAGTAATTTGGACCTCTCTGTAGCAATTGTTTGTCAGCTCACCAAAAATGTTCCGGAAGTACCTTTTCTGAGTACTTTCATGAAAAGGGCTTGGCAATTGGAAGGCCTGTAGAGTTAGTTGCACATTTCCAGTGAAGATCACATTTTACAGTGTATACAAATTTTCAAATTGGTGTACATATAAATGCACATACTTTCAACACTATTTTTATTTGAAAATGTATTGCAAATTTCTAAGCTTTTGGCTTATTGCTAAAGTATATATTATGTTATTAAGAAGAGAAAATGGTTATTCTGCTACATTTTTTTTGTTTTCTTTAGAAATCTAATACACTGAGGTTGGCACAGAAGAGATACTTTCTAAACAATATGGAAGACTGCAGCCTTGGGTATTTTAGTTGGAGCGCACAGTGCTGGCGAATCAGTTGTATTTGGATGGGCAGCATCTGCTCTTCACCCAAGTTTAAAATGAGTTATCAGGAACATGGAAAAAGGGCTCAGTTTCTGGCCACCTAGTGGGCGACTCAGAGTGCTTGTAGCTGTGATTTATGCTTGTAGCCATAAAAAAATCTTACTTTAGAATGTCTAAGAATTGCATACTTTCAGTCCCAGAAAAGTAAGACTGCAAACGCAAGGACCTTTCTATAAAACCTAGCATCATATCTAAAGAAATTGCCTGTTGAAGTCCAAGTTTATGTATAATTCTTTTCCTTAGATATTTAGATACTTTCATAAGACACAGGCTTTTTATGATGAGAATTAAATAAAACTAAAAATAAATTTAAAATACTCAAACATATAAATACATATCATCATGTATATTGTATAGAAATAAAAATAAAATACAAATTAAATTTGTTGATTAAATCCTTAAAATACTTTTTGATTATTTCTTTCCCACAAAATCCTTGAAATTGATTTTGCAAGCATTTTTTCAACTGCATGTTTTGGAAGAATATTCTGAAGTGGGATTTTTATCTTCTCTTCTGTAGTTAAATCTTCCGGGAAATCCTACTCCAAATCTTTTAGTTACTTTTATCCTTTGTTGAGAGTTCTCTTTCTCTTTAATTTATCCCTGTCTTGCACAATCAGATTAACTTTTCTTTATGCAATGTTTATAACTTTTCCCAAGAGACACATTCATAATGGTAGACTCAGTGTGTAAAAAGTGACAAGATATCTCGTTGCTAAGATGATTTCACTATTTTGCAACTAATAGTTCTTGTACAGCAGCAAAAGCACTTTCCCCCACCAAAGTACCTATATGACAAGATCTGATTTACTTTTATTGTCATTCTTGTTTGTAAGCATTCGTTTTATTCAAATGTTGTAATTTTCAGAATATTTACTATCTTCTTCAAATTATGAATTACATTTCTATGAGTTTCTACTCAGCTGCTTGGTTACATGCTAGGTAATTAACAAATCAACTAATTTACACATTAGTGAACAATAAATACTTGTGGAATTATTTTATAATTGGAAATTATGGCTAGTTAGTTAAATACTGAAATATAAAGGTAGATTCCTACTGAAATTTTTAAAACCACCAGTGAATGGCAGATAATTGGTTGATTTTGGTGAAATTAAGTGTCTGTGTGGGTTTGCTTTGTTGAAAATTATGTAGGCAGTTCTGTGTCTTTCATCTGTGAAAACAAGTTAGTAATTTAGTTAAGGAAATTGTGGAATAAGGTATGCTTATATAGTCAACTTTGCTTTTTATGAGGGTGTTAGCATGGAATTAACTGGATCCAGTGGAAAAATATGGAGTATGTAATAATATGATTTAAGATATTTGAGATACAGAAATAAGGTTTTATGGACATCTCCAGATTTAGTATCTTCTGACTACTAAATCTTGGCTTATTTTAGAATAATATATAATATTGTTAATCTGTATGTAACTTTCTATTTTATTTTTAAAAGTAAGTTTGTAAAAACAAGTTATTGTTAATTAAAACAGTTCCCTCTGTCTTGTCATTAAGAGTTCCAGTGGTAATTGGGAAAACAAAATAAAATCTAGTCTTTGTCTCCTCTCCCCACCAAGAAATATCCTGTTGCAAGCAAGAAGAAATTTGCTGGTGATATGTGTTGGCTGCCTTAAATAAGGGAGGAAATTATAAGAGTAAAGAGTTATGGGTAGGGACATTGTTTTAGGTGTTATCTCTGCTTGGGAATCATGTTTACTGAGTTTTAAGGCCACTCAAGAACTGCAAAACAACTGCTGCAGATGTGTTCTAGAAATATGGCCATTCTTAGTCTAGAAAATCAGCTTCACCTTAGGATAGTTGTGTAACTATTCTAAGTACTGTAAGTCCAGTACATGTATGCAAACATGTTTCTGTAAATGTAAATAAAAGTATGAAGCAGGGTTTTTTACAGTTGCTGTCAGTATGAAAGCCAAATATGTATGTCCAGAGAATTTCTCAATATAAGGGTATCTGTACCACTAAAGTACCAAATGTCTCTCTTACCTCCCTCTCTCCAGTCTCTCTCTTCCTTCACCCCGGCTCCCTTGCCCTGTGTCCTATACCCTCTTTACTTCCCTTTATCTTCTCAAAATTACCCCAGGAAAAAGCTGTGCTCTCCAAAAGCAGGAAGACCTCCATAATGAAGATGTGAAAGTGTGCTATTTAGATTTTTCTCTTGAGTGTCTGCTGACAATGGAATGACAGCAGATATTGTGATAAAACAACAGCTTAAAAACAAGGCAAACTTTTTACAAGTGAAACAACTACAGTTTTCTTTTCAAACGACCTTTTAAAGCAGTCTTAAAAATTATATAGTAATTGTAATTTTATCTAAGCAGAGATATCTGTCTATCTATGAATCTAGAGTATTGTATTTAACTTACTATTTGGTAAAAAGGTGAAACTGCTTGTGAAGACAATATTTTTGGATTGCCTACAGCTTTTTCTTATTAAACGATACTGAAATGTTATTGTTTCTACCTATGTTCCCTCTCACTATGTACTCGCTGTTTAGTCTTGTTGCCATACTATATTAATAGAGTTCACACCTTTTGGAGGCAAGAGGTTATTAGGAAGCATGTTTTACATTTAGGAGAAACGAGGGAGTAGGATCCAAGAGTGCTATGAAATTTATATTTGAGACCAGTTTTGCATAATATAATTTCTTCCTTTATGTCACTGTGGCATTAGTTATTTTTATTTATTCCATTTATTTTTATTTATTATATCAATGCAATATTAGCACATTTAAATAGAACATAAACAGAATAAAAATAATGCTTACTTTACATGTGCAAGTAGTACTGTTGAATTTAGTGGTTTGTTCACCAAGAATAGCTAACAGAAGTTTCTGCTGAAAAGTGGGATTTTGTCTTTATATTCTTAAGTTAATGCTGTACCGGGAGACTGAATTTGAGAATTTACTGACCTGTTTGCTTTTACCTTTTATGTTTTACATGAGTATGTACTTCTGCACTTACTAAATATATAAATATCAAGAATGCATGTATCTGGTATTAAACATTTTTGTTAACAAGTCACTGAATATTTAATTTTATTATAGAATATAAAGTATTCAGTCAAGTCTTACTGTATTTTATGTTACTTTTCATACACATGGCATGTTTCTCCTGTGCCGATACTAAAATGTGAACAAAACTACATTTGTTGCCTTTTTTACATTGTTGAGATAGCTAGTCAATAGTTAATGGTTGAAATATATGCGCTTCAAGCTAGAAGCAACTATCAGCTTCATGTTGTCAAAAGAAACCTTTTAATTTATCATTACTCTTTTGCTGAATTTGGAAGGCATTGATGCTTTGAATAGATACATGGCATTTACTTGGAACTTGGAACTTTATGAAGAAATAAAATTGGAGGTTTGCAATTTGGAAATAAGGATATGTAGCAGGTCACGTTTGCATTAGAGGCAGGTGATAGTTTTCACCAGTGATAGAAACTTAGGATGAGCTCTAAAAAAATGTTCTGTAAGTACAGCTATATCCTAATCCTGTCTTTTGGAATCTGGTTGTGCCTTCATGCAAAAATGTTAGTTTACTAGTGCAGCAGAGTTAAAGAAAATTTACTTCTGTTGGTAGCTTTTGATATTTGTATGATTCATGCAGGTGTCCAGTTTTTCTGCTTTGGATATATATTGAAATATCTATCTTGTATCTTAGATGGTAAGCTACATGTAATTGATTATATGAAATGAAAGCATTTCTTTTTCCAAGAAGTGTTGCCCTTAAATTTCATTATGAATTTACAAATAAAAGCAAATACAAGTTCCCAGTCTGTCATATGAGGTTTACATACTGCTGTCATGTATCCTCTTGCTAGTGTTTTATGTGGACTCCCAGATTACTCAGAAGTTTTTACAGGCTTCTGGTTATTGATAACCTCTTTCTCCAAATGCATGTTATTTCTGCTCTATCCTGTTTTTTAAATAGGAGGACCAGAACTGGATAAATTTTTTCAGGTGAGGGCAAACCAATTAATATCATAACATTTTATTTTTTATATTATTTCCCATCACATTCTTTGTGTGTCCTGATACTTGTTTCTTTTTTGACCACCACTGCAAACTGACTAGTAACACAACTTTGGATGGGAGGTAAAATGGCTCTTGTGCGTGTAAATGAAGCACTTAGCAATTGGGCGTGTATACTTGTGTGCTGAGGAAGGGAGGTAAAAGGGAGGTGACATGAGCCACAGGGCAGCTATTTCAAAACAAGATTTACCTGGAATTTATTTCAGACGTTTTTATGTGGATAGTTTGTTGGAAATACTTAATTCTGATTAAAAGGGATTGAGGAAGGAAATACTTTTTTTTTTTTTAATGCCTGAAAGTAAACAACTCAAACTATTGATATATGCCAGGCTTTTTTCTTATCTTTTTCCCTTTTTAAAACTAGTGGTCATAGAAAAAAATAACAATAATTTCCCATTTTGGTTGATGCATTCTACACTGCAAAGTAAGACAAACTGAAGTTTTACTTCAGTTTTGCTGTGCTCTTTTTAACTTAGAGATAAGTATGTTTGGTGTACTGTCGTTCTGGTTTTTTTTCCTCTCTCATTTCTTTTTGTTCACCTACTATTTGAATTTTCATGAAATTTCTTTTAATAGGCAGAGAGATCAAGAAAGAAAAGAAGCTGAAGAAGCTAGTCAGAAAGAAATAGAAGAATGGGAAAAATCACTTTTAGCTCAAGCAGCACCTACAAGGATGGAGACAATGTGGGAGATTCCAGCTATTGGTCACTTTCTTTGCTTGGCCCAACATATTTTAAATTTACCTGAAATAGTATTCTATGAATTGGAACGTTGTCTTCTGATGCCTCAGTGTAATGTTTTTTTATCTAAAATAATGACTTCTTTGTTAAGTCCTCCTCATCGCAGACCTACATTACATCGCAGGCCTACATTTTCCTACAGGACTTGGGAAGCAGCGCTCAGGAAGAAAGTGCAACACTGGTATACTGTTGTGGGGCAGACTGACAATCCTAATGGTGCTGCAGAAAAACTTGGATTGTGTCCCCAGTTTTTCAAAGTTCTCGGAGAAGTTAATCCCTTGGAGGAAAAACCATTTCATGAGCTGCCATTCTATCAAAAAGTATGGCTGCTAAAAGGTCTCTGTGACTTCGTATATGAAACACAAAAGGATGTTCAGGATGCAGTGCTAGGTCAACCTATCCATGAGTGCAGAGAAGTAATTCTTGGTTATGACTGCTTGGAAAATGCTTATGTTCACTTTCCACAGTTCTGTGGTGCAGATGTTCGAATTTACAAACAAAAACCTTTTCGGGCTCCTGAATTCCCATCTCTTCCCATCAAAGTTAAAAAAGTGCCACGTATTAAATCGGAAAGAGTAAAACATGAATATGGAAGCAAAAGCAATGGGGAGGTCAGTTCTGCTGGGAGAGAGCTGCTGTGTCATTCCAAGACAGAAGGAGAGAAAAGTAGGGACATTGTTATCTGTCCAGAAAAAAGAACACGTTTAGGTAGCTTTAGAGTCACTACAGAGGAAATGAAGGTTGACTGTGAAATAAAAGTCTCAAGAGTTTGTGACATCAAAAAATCTTGTTGTTATAAAGAGAACTTAAGGAATTTGATGACTTCAGGAGAGATTGTGGATATGGGTGGTCACCCAAGTTCAGAAGAAATAACAGATGTGGAGAATGGACAAGGTTGCGCTGAAATGGCCAGAGTAAGATCTGAGCTGAGTCCATTCAAGGTGAACACACTGCAAGCTTGCCAAATGCATATCAATGGCACTTATAATGAAAACCAAGGCAGAAATTACCATGAATCTGCTGAAGAAACGGTGCTAGAGACCTTACTGCAAAATGATAAGAAACTAAATAAAATGCTGGCAAAAAAGAAGAAAAAGAAAAAAAAAAAGTTGAAGGATATTCTAAATGAAAATCTACAGAGAAAATTTGATGACTTGCAAAGAAAGCGTGAGATTCATCTTCACCCATTCAAATCTTATAAGTCTGAGATCCAGAACAAGTTGTTTTTAATTAAAAAGAAAGCAAAACATAAGAAGCACAAGTCCGGTAAGTTGACATTTTTACTCATAGTAAAAATTAGGAGGATAGAGGTGTTTTTCTTAAGTTGTTTTCTTAGTTGATAAATCTACATTTTATTTTGTGAAAGAGGACAGCCTTATTGCATTAGACAATTTGGATATTAACTTTAGAGTAAAAGTTACCTATCCGATAACACAAGCATATAAAACTAGCTTGATCAAACTGTTATTCATTTGCATAATATATCTTTAGAGAACATAATTAATTGCAAGATTTAATTTGTTGCAAAAAATATTCAGGACAATAAATGTAACTGACTAGTTAGCATCAGAGAGTGTCACTTGAAGGCAGTTTATGGTATCTTATATTATAGCAATTATGGAAGTGTTTCTCCATTTTCTGTTTTATATTACCTTATCCAAATTATGAAGAAATACAGAGTAATTACATGAGATGATGAATCTAAAGTCATTCATAGTGAAACTGTGAAGTGTTAGGTCACCAAACAGTACTGTTTTGAGTGTGGGCCTGGGTCCAACAGTCAAGATGCATCAGCATCAGAATTTATGCTGATGACATTTTTATTACAGAATTGGGCGGCATCTGGTTAAGTGTTTCAGGTAAGTGATACACAACCCAGATTTCAGTTAACTCATTGGAAAATTTCAAAGGTATTTGCAAAGAGTACAGGTACAAAAACTTAAGTAAGTTCAAATTGTTCAGGTAGCTGTAGTATTTTTGATGTCATGTGAAGCAACATAAAAGCTTAATCGTTTGAGTCCTGAGCTAAGCCATCTCTGCTAGATTTTAGCAGATTCTTTCCAACGTTATATTTTTTGAAGTGACAGGCTGCTTTTCAGAACAGTGTAGACTGACAGATAAATATTGGATTTCATCTGAAAAGCAGAAAGCCAAAACCAAGAATCTGAGTGACAAAAAAATGTCTTCTAAAGATGAAGAAACTAGTCAAGGTCTGATGGCAGTGCGTGTAGCTAGAAGTCAAAATTTAAAGCTAAGAGAACAAGTAATGTTTCGATCCTAAATATTTGCACATAACAGCCAAAGAACTGTCTTATTTAAATCTCAAATTCCTCCTTCCAAAATATTTTATTGCCCACATCTAAACAGAAGTTTCAAGAGTTGCAGTTGAAGTTCATATATGTAGTATTCAGGGAAACTAATGTATTTTACATTTACCTTTGTGACTTAGCTCTCCACATGTGTCACTGTTGTCTTCTTAAAACCAAGCAAACTGAATAACAACCCAAATGGCAAACAAGGGCTCTAGTTTGGAGAAATGTTGTCCTTTATCTCCTGATATGTTGATGCATTTCCCATCTTACTGTGACTACTTCTTTATTTGACCTTGCTGGAGAAAGTTTTGCAATAACTTTACGGCATTGCAAGAAAGCGCTTTTCTTCCTATGGTTGTTAAATCTCCATTGGTCCTGTAGCTGCTAGGCTGAAATGGATAGGATTGCATTCAATTTGTGCAAATAAGTTGTTGTTTTGTAATGTTTCCTAATGTTTAAGGCTAGCTAGTATTTCTTAAAGATTGTCTGAAATTAAATCTTGTATTTAAAGATTCCATTACAATGTAAAGCAGAAAAAGTGATTTAGTAAATCTTGTTCTGAGTCCACAAAGACAGCTGATTTAAATCTGATCCTAGTCATAATAACTCTTTACAATGTTATTTAAAAGTACAATAAGTAGAAGAGAACATCAAGAATGTAAAAGTGAGTACTTCTCATTACTTTTCAACAATTTTTTTTTTTCCTGCTATTGGTTCTCTTAGGCAGCCAAATGTAACTGAGTCACAGTTTGTGTTTGTATTGAGATGATTTACATATTCCGGACTTGCTGTGGCAGTGGTGCCCATAGTGAATATAGACTGGTCATGCATTTTTTCCATCTGAAAACTTCACAGAAATATTGTGGGAGGAACTTACTGGAGAATACAGCTATGTTATGACCTTTACCATAGTGACAAAGTTTTCTTACCATTTATGAAAAGGTGTGACCACTTTGCTGAATCTATGTCTTTGAAACAAGGTGATGGTTATTACTGGGCAGTGTTCTGTGTCAGAATTATTGACAGAGTAGTACTGAATGTAATGGAAAGACAGAGTCAGAGCAGTTCTGTAAACAACTGCATGCTATGCATTAATTTTTTAATGTTATTTTCTTACCGGAGTTAGATAACTTTCAGTGCAAGACCATGAGAATCCTACAATTGCATGTTTGAAACAGGGATTGGATGAAATTCGGAACATCTGTAGGGTTGAGACAATAGAAGGGACCAGAGGCTGCTTGAGGTTGTAGTCAATTTACACTTACTACAACCACTGCATCAGGCATATCATAACTGTGATATGCCTGATGAAGTGGTTGTAGTAAGTGTAAATTGAATCTCTTCTTATTCCAGTTGGTCTAGAAAACACCAATTCACATGATTTTGGAAGAACCTTGGATGTAAATTCTGTACCATATACTCATGCTCTGGAAAATTCTGCTGAAGTCCATTTTACTATATATTTTGTTTCTTTAGAGTACCATTACATTTTGTGTATAAAGTCAAGCATTGCTTGAATGTGAGAAAATTAATTCAACAGCCTGGCAGCAATTTTGTAGTACCTAGTTTACTGTCCTTGGGAGTTTAATATTCAGAAGTCTTCTGGAGTTTTTTCAGTGTTGTAAAAACTTTGTCATGTGGTCTAGCCTGTAGATAAAGGAACAGCCTATTGATCACGTTGAAAACATTAAGTGAGGTATTCCAGCAAGTAACAATGCACTCCATGCATTAAGCTTCAGTGCCACTGTCTTCAGAAACATGTACCACTCAGGTTTTATAGGGTTTCAGACATTGTTCTGTAAATCAGCAATATTAATGCACTTGTTCAGACCGACTTAGCTAATCTGACTATATAAAAGTTTATGCTGTGTCAATATGGAAACTTCAAGACTCTAAAATAATGCTTCATTTTCCATGTATCATGTTATATTTTGTAAAAGAGCTGTTGGGAGCAATATCGGAGAGTAAAAGATTAAAAGGAAACAGGATACATACAGTAGTTGCCAAATCTTTGAAACACATAATGTGTGTCTTACAAATTTGTTAATGGAAGGATAACAGGGCCTGTTATTTAATTTGATAACACTGCAGTTGCTGCTAGAATTTAGTGAAAAAAATAGAAATTCTTGCAGTTGGACAGGGCTAACTTAACTGTATGCTACCATGACAAATACTACTGAGTTAGTGTTTGATATTAAAAACATCTGTTGCTTCATCTGAGATAACAAGGCTCTGCTCCATATCCAAGAAAAAAGTTGCAATCTTATTAAAAAATTATTAAAATAAGTTTTAATTCAAAATTGCACTGTGTTGTCATGTTGTAATTTGAAGCATGGATTGACATTGCTTTTGTTCTTCAAGGAGAAGGCGCAAGAACTCATATACCAGAGTTCATAATAAAAAGTTTTATTAGATCTGTAAAAATGTTTCTGTTTTCAAATCATGTTGACCCCAATGTAGAAGTTATAAATAGGTTGAGTTGTTCTTGCTGAAGTAATTTACAAGTGTCAAGAACATTTGTGGGACCCCATGTTTTATTAGTCTCATTTTTATGCCAAAAATAGTACTAGAAGAGATCTGAATTATCTTTTTGTTTCTCCTTCTTCACCCTTAGATGGCAAAAACAACTTGAGATGGCTTGTGTTTTAGTTGCATCTAATCTCCCTAGAGTGGTTTTTGGATGCTCATAATTAGTATTCAGGTCCTAGTTATGTTACTTTGTTAGTTGCTTTTCACTTACAGTGTCTGTAGAATTTGTTTTGGCTTGAAAGGAAAACCTGTGGCAGTCAGATTTCCCCTGGACCTACTGAACTTAAGTTTAATTTCTTAAGAATTTTCACACTGCTGGCTAATGGTTTCTTGGTTAACAAAATGTTGACTTCCTATGAACTCCTGTTGTGGTGAGGTGCCTCATAGTCTCTTCCACTCTAAACTGAAACCAAACTGAGATATGGAGCTTTTTGGAAAAGACTGTGTGGAGACATAATTACTGATTATGGCACAGTAAATTGTTAGTGAATGTAAAGTTACAGTGGAATATCTTTAAATGTGGACAGGAAATAGGCTGTGTTGAATTGAGTAGGTGAACTAAGCAGATTATGTATATGAGATTCTTAATCTATAAATATCAAACTAAGGTTTAATAAGGTTATGCTATGGTTCTAAGGTTTTTCTTATTGGTTGCTTTTAGTCAGTAATTAAGTTTATTTGTATACTGAGTATGCCCTGAAAGACACAGTGCACCATGTTTCAAAATGCATTGTGATCTAACTGCTGTCAGAAACATTACTTCAACTGCTCAGGAATTAATATAAGCCTTTAAGATAATTTCTTCATCCAGGATTATGGACAAAAGATCTCTAGCAGACCTCAGTGGAGTGATTTGAGAAGTTGCCTCTCACCAGTGATTTTGTTAACCGAAGACAGCGTTAGCTGGGTCTTTCTGACCAATTACATAGAAAATGCTTGAGTTTATTACACAGTTGCAAGTCTGGTTGCTGAGGGGGATATCTGCAGAACCATCACACCTCTGGGTCGCAAAACTGGGATTTTATGTACTTACTAAAAACGTATTTAACCTATGTATAGCAGATATGGATTACATAGTTCATACATATCTGTATGAATTACAGATAATTGCCAATTGTGAAAGATTTGGTTTCTGTTACCGTTGTTTAAAGCTGATAAAGGATTTTTGGAAAACCAGATACAAGCTTTTCTAAAAGGGAGCAATTATCAGTACTACCACTACAACTTCTTTCTAATATAATTTTGTATTTCAAAAGGGTGTTACTGAAATAGAAGATTAATTTGCTGTAAGTAGTTTGCTGTACATATTAATTCCCTCCCATAGTAGAAGTATCTGTAGGTTTTTTTTCCCTTTTTAATACATGATCTCAAAAAACGCCTACACCATAGGATGTCTGGTGTCAAAAAAATGGGAAAAAGACTGTGATGTTGCTCTATACAGATACGTGCTTTGCTCACAGCAGTTACCAGCAATTCTGTAGATATTTTGGTACATATATTCCAACAACTATGCTTTATGATATGTCAGACTCTATTTTTAATTAATAAGTAAGGCTCATTTTCTTGTGCTTCTAGATGGTATCTTTTAATTCTTGATGTGTCTGTAACTCTGTATCTTTCCTACTTCATGCTTTTCAGATGCTGATGTGAAGAAAGAAATGTTTATTTTTTTGCGTTTCTAATTATTTATAACTCTTTCTAAAAATTTTCCTCCTTTTCATGAGGATATATTAGGGAAAAGAGAATACTTCTGTTTAACTGTTACTTCTTGAATTACACTGCATCATATGTCATATAGCACTGGATGCTGAAAATAGTCAAGTAAATACTTATTGAAAAATATGGTGAAAGTATTCAAGTAAAATGAAAATTCTATTTTAAACGTATTAAAATTTTCCTTTTTGTAAAGAAGCAAAACAATCTAGCTGCCTTTTTTTTTGGTCTTTTAATTTTGTTTCCAGATAACATTTTTTAAAAGGAGCCGCCATATGACCAGACTTCTTTTTGAGTCATTTTGTCAAGAAAGCTTCTAAGCATCTACTTTAGTTCTTTCAATGAACAGCATTGTTTTCAGTAGTAGCATGCAGCTATAGTTATAAAGCATATAACAAAAATACAGACATTTTTTCCCATTGTCAGACTGTTTGGGTTATTGTTCTAGTGAATAAGCTTCTCTGTTTTATCAGTTGTTATTTAATGTGAAATATGTAAGTATTTATTTTTTGTATTTGAGGGCTCTTTAAATTTTTAAGTATGTTTGGTATGGGTAGTTTCTAGGCTGCTTTATTGATTTTAATATAGTTTGATTTTATGTGGAGTTTCAGATCTAGATTCTTCAAGCCCTGTGCCTTGTCCCGTAAGTGTGTTTATTTCAGAGTCAGGTAAGATGTTCAGGAAACTCATAGTGTAATAAACTGGAAAAACAGATGCATAGGCATCTATGAATATTTGTATGTACATGTACATACGCATTTGCACACACTTAAAGCATCTGTTAGAAAGAAGGTTAAGTGCAATATTTTCAATAATTTAAATATTGAAACTGCCTGTGCTTGTGTTGTTACCATGTGCCTGCAATCATGCTAGTTGACAACAAATTCCACATTAAATTGTTATTTTCTTCAAGCTGTCTTTTTGTTTAAGGTTTTAAATTATTGTTTGGGACTCCTGATTGTGAACAAGTGTTAATAATAGAATGATGGTTTTGGCCTGAGTGAACAAGTTAAAGGTGATCTTGTTCAAATTTACCATATGAATGTAGAAATAACCATATAAGAAACTTTGCTGTCTTGCTTGGTGACATAACTTCTTGATTTCAGAAATGTGTATGGTTTGTGAACTCTTGTACTGTAGGCAGTAGAGCACTTCCTTACCTTCACAGAGATTTTTTGTTATATCTGTTTGTATATAGCACAGCTGCATGTGAAGTGCATTATAGGAAGTTGTTTGCCTTCTAAAAATGTTAGGTATTGCCACAGGCAGAAAAAACAAATCAGTCTAATTTCCTTGGTAAATTCAATGTTTTCAATTAGGGATTTCTAGATACTACTTGTGGTTTCTGGGTATTTTTTACTATTACATACAGCTATCCCAGATCCTAATGTGTGGTTCTTTAGAATGTTAGAGAAACAAATCTTGCAGGTAAGAGGCTCTGTTTCTTATGTTTGTGCCTTAAGTTCTGGATTTCACTTCTTTCAGAAGAGTGGTGTCAATGTTACTTTTATGACTTAGATTTTTAGGTGCTGTATTACTGAAACTGTAGTGGGCTTTTTCTTCCTTTTTTTCCTTCCACCCCACAAAAAGATTGCACAGATACTTGTTCAGTGCTTGCTTCTGCTGAGTCTAGTTCTGATTCATCATGTTTATGTGACTTACTGAAAACTACCTGTTAGTTGTAATTTAACTTACAAGTCTGTATGTAATTTAGTTTTATTAATAAAGTACAATGAACAGCATTATGAAGCTTTTCTCTTTTAATCTTACAAGGAAAAAAATCGTTATCTAAAAAAGCAATCACAAAGAAGAGGAAAGGTGTCAGAAAGTCTACCATACCAGAATTTCAGGTAAATTGTTTTAATTTTTGTTTTAAGCACTTTAAATCTGAATATCTATGAAATTAATCCTTTCGTTTCTGATAGAGACCTTGGAAATACTCACTGAAGCTTCTTCTAGTTTTTAAGGCTTAAACTGATATTTTTGGAAGTACATTTCACCTTCTCATGGTAGAAAATATTTTACCATTTTTATGAAGTGCAGCTGAAACACTATTTTCAGTATTGTTTATGATCCCAGATATATCTGTTACAGTATAAAACCTGTAAAAACTAGGATTTGTTAAAAGACATTTTTATGGTAGATATAACTGTTTGGGTTAAAATTACTTGATTTTGTATGAGGTGCGACAATGTGGTTCTTGAATTAAAATCTGGCTTAGTTAACTAAAGGACTTCCAAAAACTTTATAGGCAGCTGTGCTTACCCTGCTTGCAACTGTTATTCCTTATCAGCGTGTGATTTCTAGGCCTCTAGGAGCTCTTAGGGTATTGAAAGTAACAAGACTATTAATTATGCTAATATGGTTTCATGGTACTGTAGTAGAAGTGTTACAGGACTTCAGTTCTAAGTTGCTCTCTGTGTATGCAAGGCTGCTTAGATTAAAGTTCTCCTTTGGCTATCTTTTTTTTTTTTCCTTCAGAAAGCAGTCTGTGCGAGTTGGCCAGTAGGCTTGCATTGAATCATGGCTGTTTTGTAATACCCTCACCCTGAATCAGTTGATCCCATCATGATCATGTGTTTCAGATGGAGCTAGTAAAATTTCTTGTGTTAAAATTGGGTAGTAACAGTTAATGTTGAGAGATGACTGATATTTAAGTGTACGCTGACTTTATCTATATTGTAATGGTGATGACTAAAATGTTGTCTCATAGCTCCAGAAAACAGGTACGTGTCTAATTTTTTTTTTTCAAAGCACTTTGTCTGCATGCCATGGATATATACATTTAGTTTAGAAAAAATTTCTTGCATGATTAAACAGCTGCATTTAAGCAGTCTATGTAAAACTTAGCCCAACCTTTTAGCTTTAGTAGATAAAACATATGTATATCTATCTAAGTGTATACTTATCTTCTGTAAAACCTTATATTAAAACGTGGCAAAATACTTTTGACTCTTTTGGTCAAAGCTAGGACTCATATCTGTTTTAGGTCAGGCTCAAACTGATTAGTATTGAGCAGTTTAATCTTATTAGGGAGCTTTTTAACAGCTTAACCTGACTCATTCAAGTGGTATGACTGTTAGAAGAATTTGCAAATATTAAACCTTTTATATTTGGAATAATACTAAGACTTCTGGGAGTCTAGTAATTTATGCTTCAATATACTCTTCCCCACATACACAAATGGCCAAACTTTATGAAATTATATAAGTAGTTGAAGGTAAAAGTATATTTTTTAAATATTTTGAAAAACAGCTTAGAACTTACAGGCCCTGTGAGATATGATGGGAGGCATAACCACAAGAGTATTGCTATTCATATCTACATATTACTTCTTTTGGAGTACAAGTTAATTTATTAAGTATAATATGCTTCATGTGCCTGAAGCCTACAAATGTAAAGAAAAAACACAAACCCAGCCAGAAGGCACTTTAGTTTATAAGATTAGGTTCTGTACTTAAGTATGGATCTCCTGAAAATCATGATTTGGCTTTAAAGCTGAGTAAATGAGTATTAATAAGTCTTTTAATATGGGCAGTGACGCAAATCAAAATCAATTACTAGTGAAAATTCAGAAGGTAATAGTGCTACTTAATCTAATATTTAGAGTACCATTTTTATAATATATAGCTCAAGCCTGCTTTGAACAAAATCCCCAAAGCCCTGCAAACAACAAAACAAATTCAAATCAAAAGCAGATGCAAATTAAATTCTTTTTACCAAATAAAAATGCACAGAAACCAAATCCCTATTTTAATATTTTGAGAATTATTGGAGAAGTGGGTTTACAGCTTCATAGATCATTATTTAGTTGTGTCTTGCTTGTGACATTTTCCACATGTAGATGTGAGTGATAAAAGAGCAGCTTCATAGGAAATACAATTATAATTAACAGTCATTACACAAATAACTTGAAATATTCAAGTGTGAGACCCTGTTGAAGTGAGTTAAAATTCTGCAGAAAGTTTGTCTGAAGTTAAGGGGGCAAGGAAAAAGCATCAATGGTGTGGGGAATACACTGGGTTCTATAATGCTAAAGAGTTCATTTATAAGTTGATTACAGGAGAGTTCCAAGTTGGAATGGAGCTTGAGCCCCTGTCTTCTCTTAAAAATTCAGGGCAGATTTTTTTTGTCTTTCTTCCTTGAAGTCCTAGGAGTCAATGAGGGTCTTTGAGAGATTACTGAGATCTGAGGTTGCATTGTAACATGAGAGTTGAACACTAAATTTGAAATTTTACTGAATATCTGAAGCTTCCACTTCAATTGGAATATAATTGGTATACAATTGAAAAACAGGATGCTTATTGCCTATGACAAATAAGTCTCTATGTAGTAAGTACTGTGCCGGATGTGATGGTGGTTTTTTTGCAGTTAACATGTACACAACTAATGAGATTACATTAATGTAAACATTTACAGGCTGAATCTTTAAGCCACCATGTAGTGTTCTAGAGAATAGGAACTAATCTTTCATTCTCTCTGATAATTCAAAATGGAAACATTTTTTTCACTTCAGATTATTTTCTTCATGATAGGTGATTAGCAGGCATGTTCTTCAAGAACCATATGTGAAACTACCAGTAAGCTATCAAAATGTGACAAAATTATTAGATTGTAACATTAATATTTATTTTTTTTGCCTTCATGTTAACTTACCCATTAAAACATACAAAACAATTAGAAGTCAGTGTTGTTTGCAGAAAACTGAATCGCTAAGTTCCACCAATTACCAGCCATAAGCAAAGAACACTGAAATATAAATAAGAATCTCACTGGGAGAAATAGCATCTAGAGTCCATATCAAAAGGTATAAAGTACACTACACTTTGTTATTTTCATCACTGTTCTTTTCATGCTTCCTTCAAAACACTAGCTTCATTCTCTAAGATGGGAAAAGCTGACCATATGAGAGAGGTTTCAGAATTAGCTTTTTTCCCAGTCAGTGTGCATCTTTATTTCGTCATCTCAAATCATACTGTGAATTAAAAAATCAAAGTTTTTTCTTGAACCATTTTTATAATGCTTTTCAGTTCAGTATTGGAGTATTTAAAATGCTAAACTAATTTGACCATGAATCCTCCAAGCTCAGCTGCTGTTATCTTTCTTATTTTATCAGTAGGTAATTGACACACAGTTATGACCCTCAAATGTACATCTCATCTGATCAAAATTGTGACTTAGAGATTTGATTACTCTTGCCTGTCATCCCCAGCCCCAAGGCAATTGAACTTTATTTATTGGCATTGTTTTTCACAATTACGTAGTTTGAATTGGTCTCGTAGGAGAAAATAAAAAGTAACAATAGACTTCAGTAACTGAATTGTCAGGTATATAGTCAAAAAATGGATTATAGTTGTGTAGGGAAAACCTTTATCCATGCCTTTATTGACTTATGTCAAGGACTTTGTGATGTACTTTTTTGCTTAATAATATAGTGTCATGGATTTCTTCACAGGCCAGACACAACCAATATTTGGCTTCAGTTTATATTTTTGGTATTTGGGCCTCCTTTAAGTGCAGGACATGCATTTTGAACCTAATTACCCATACAGTTACCCATAGTAATTTTGTTTTCTGGGTTAAGAGGGATACCTTTCACAAGAAAATTTTGCATACACAGTCTGTGGCAAGACACTGCCAATTTCCTTATTAATTTATTACTCTAAACTTGATAGATGTGAAAAAGGTAAACTTTGATTTGAGTCACTCAATTTCCTCAATGCTTCAAATGTACACAATGTTATGAAAATAACGGCACATGTGCACTTGAGGTTTCTGAAATTTTCTTTGCTAAAAGTGTTCAGTGTTTTAATAGTGCTAGCAAAAGTGCTTCTTCTAATATGAATTTCCTGAAAATCAAAAACTGCACCTGAATTTGAAGTAAAAATATGTTGTTATAAACTACTGATTTGGTAAAAATACTTAGGAGTTATTTGATAAAAACATTTTCATGAGGATATGTTTTGTATGGGGTTTTTTATTTAATTTTCTTAAATTATTGCTGCATGTTTTCAGTAGAAAGGAAAACATGTCCACCTAAGGGTGTTCAGAAGAAGCAAGTCTTATTATAACATAATCTAAAAGAACCTAACATCTTCATATTTACTAGTTCTTTAAGTCCTAACTTGCCCTAGGTGATGGTAAGACAAAACATACAGATCACCTTTGTATGACAATTTTTTCAAGAAAATAGCATCCATTTTCTGAAAGGAAAAAATATAAAAAGCTGTTTCTAAAGACAAGACTTAGAAGAATATAATACTTTCTCAAAACATACATTAAGTAGGTAGATTTGGTAGATGACTAAGTTTTGTTAGAATAATCAAGGTTGGAAGAGACTTTCAATATCATCCAGTCTGACCGTTCACCCAGTACTACCCCTGTCACCCTGAAACCACTAAACCACATGCCTCTTGAACATATCCAGAGATGGAATACTCAGTGTAAGCATATAAAGTTATGGTCAGGAAAAGTGGTACCAAGTGTAAATGTTATAAACACAGCATGCTACAAAGTTAGTATACTTATTTTGCCAGGGAATTGTTTGATACTCAAAACTGTTCTAAGTCAACACTGTACTTGAGTGAAATTTGGTAGTTGTCATTCACAGAAGTTTTAAGAAAATACCTAAATTTTGAAATGGAAGCTTACAGGTAGAGATATGGTTTATGTCTGAAGAATAAGAATATTTTCTACTTAGATTTTCCTTTTCTCAGCAAGTCCTGATTTTTGTTTGAGTTTTTTTTTTTTTTTTATGCTTGAAAATACTATAAGGAAATACAAATCAAATGGTGGCACTAAGTAATAATGTGCTTTTAAATTTTATTTAATATAACTGTAAATTTTCCAAGTCCCACATCACCAAGTGTTTGTGTTCATTTGTTTTTTAGCTTATTTGCACTAATCTTGATGAACTCAGGGAGTTAATCACAAAGATTGAGAATGAACTCAAAGATCTGGAGGACATTAAAAAGAAATCGGTATGTGACATTAAAAGCTTTCTCTTGTATTGATATGAAACAGTGTCAGTTACTTGCTGAGGCCTGTCAACTGAACTTTTTATGCTCTTCAGTAACTGCATGAAACCTCCTAAGGTTGATACCTGGGGACTGTAATCTTAATATTTCCTGTGTGTTGTGCTCTGTTCTCAATGTTTTTATGATAAGTGAATTCAGTACCTGTGTTAGCATTTCTCGATGCCAAAACAAAATATAGATAGTGGTAATACCTTCGAATGAGTAGTTAATCTCCATTAAACATGTGACTGTTTTGCCCTGAGGACAAGTTCTTACCAGCAAATAATTACAGGATAGAATTCTCATATCTGCCTATGCAGTGTTTATCAGAATTTCTAGTGACCTAGAATTCTTAATTCCTCTTTTTTGCATGTGTTATTAAAATTTACTTTATTTAGTATTTATTGAAGGAGTTTGTACCAGAAAGCATGCTGTCTGGCTTTTGATATCAGATTGAGATACAAATTTTACCAATATACACTGGATCACTGAGTCTGTGCAACTGAAAACAGTTGCTCAAAGGAATAACAGACAAGAGAATCCAGCATGCCTTTTGTAGAAGGCAGTGATTCTTATTAAAATGGTAGATGAGTTTAAATACATGAATCGTACTCTACAGAACTCTAACTACTTTTTTCATTGTCGTTCTGTTTATTGAACCTTTGATAGGCACTTCTATGGTGGCATTTCTTATGAAAAAGTAGTAGTTAGAAGTGTTGATTTTTCTGTTAGAAATCAGGCTGCTTTTAATTCAAGGGAAAATTCATAGTCTCGTGAAGAATCAATACATTCTGAAGTTATTTCAGTAGGGGAAAGAGCTGTGGTAGAAGAGAGGCAAATAAGTTAGGATTCTAAAAGACAAGTATCAGTGCAGTTAGCATGGTTGTTAATGTAGGCAAAGGAATAATACCAGCTTAATCTTGAAATTATTTTGCAGTTGCTAAATTGTAAACTGGTTTTAGCATAAGAATGCCAAGAGGTTATCGGAAGGGCTATGTCAGCAATAGGATAACAAGCCCAAAATTAGAGTATATATATGCTAAAATAGCATATAGACTATATTGATACGCTACAGCATATCAATAATCTTGGTGTAGGTGAGACTTTCAGTCTGCTATTAAAACTGCAGGAACATGACTTCTTCAAGGGTAGACAAATGCTAAATATGTCATAATTGCACTTTAAACTGAAATCTGATAATGTCATTATCTAAGTAAGTTGCATGACTTCAGCAGGAATACTATGTTTAGTTCTAATTGCACCATCTTAAAAAACCCAAACAGTTAAGTACAGGGAATTAAGATACAATTCATTCAACATTCAGTAGTTGTGAGGTAAGGATAATATTCTGTTGTGTCTTTATAGACCTATCAAATCATGATTCTGTGTCTCTAAATGCTTGTGTTGTTAGAAATTTTATGTAAAGAAAAGGATAAGGATTAGGATTAATTGCTGAAGACGTGGTTATGGGGAAACAGTAAAGTGAGATACTGGTTTTGAAAAAAATATTTATGAGGGAAATATTATATTTACCTTTCAAACATTCAAATAGAAAAGTGTTAAATTAGGTGAATAGTCATAAATTTGAACTTGTTAAAATGAAGTTTTGCTTTGTAAGGAAAGTCTTTAGGATTTCATTTTTGAAGTCTAACACCATGTGTCATTATGTTTGATGTCTGAAAAACTGGAGAAAATGCAGGCTTTCATTCTTCAGCTCTAACCAAATGACAGTGACAGTATCAGAAGCATCCAGAATTGAGTTTGTCCTGGTTTTTTGAAGTGCATCTTTTGTTAAGTAAAACAATTTTCTAATTTGATATTGGAAGTTTGACCTAATGTGAAAGTCTATTTTAATGATGGCACTTACATGCTGTTCATTGACTTCTTTCTTATTTTAAGTGAAAGATGGTGATGTTCTTACTACTTCATGGTAATTTAATATTGATTTTTGTTTGCTATGATGACCTGGGTGAAGCCATAGGAATCTTTCTTCTTCACAACTGATCTCCTTGGTAATTTCAGTTTTAGTAGTTGCTACCACATGCTGCTGAGAAAAACCTTCAAGGCAAGCTTTACTGTTATATTAAATACTAATATATTTTAGAAGTACAGCTTATTTAAATTAAGGCTTTCAAGTATAACCTTTTCTTAGTTGTAACCTCCCTTTTGTTACCTTGAAGACCATTCTAGAGTACGTAAAAGGAATTCCTTCTCCAGAACTTTGAAGTAATGGAGATTATAATGAAAGATCTAAGCTACAGGGCCTTTTTAGTATGAATAAACTTACACTGTTTTCCCTCATTTTTTGTAGGTAGTTGGACTGATTGTATCTGATACTTTTCACAGCATCAACTTGAGACAACAAATGACATGACAGATTTTTGTTTGGCAAATTAAAATAAAATTAGAATAGGGTCATGTAATAGAAAGTAATGGATAATTTTAAGTTTGGGCATTTCAGCAAGTTTTTTTTACAACAATGAAATAATAAACCTGTTGGAAAGTATTTTCACTGTTTGGTTGATTAAAACAGTTTGGTTTTCTACTTTTGTACACCTGTATTGTCTTTTAAATTAGCTATGAGTAGTATTTTTCCTTTTAAAAAGGCTGGCACTTTTTCTTGATTCCTGGTGAGTTTGTTATACCCATGATGAGATTTGCTTTCTGCTAGTTTGCTGTGTCTGTTTAGAGTAGAAAATTAAATTTTAGCTAAGTTCTTTGATTTTGAGGCATTCAACTCTGTACTTGAACTCCAGACACAGTTCTGAAGCGATGCTGTAATTTCACATATGCTTTCAACTGGCATAAGCCAAAACTGCTACCAAAGAAATAGTTCCTACTCCCTGTGTCGCTGGAAGCTTCTGTTTTCTGTGCCATCCCATGTGAGAGGCTGGCAAAATCTGTTGTTCTGTTGCATGATGAGAGTTAGATTGTGATAAACCTAAACCTACTTGTTTGTGCCGGTGAATTGTTTGTAAGCCAGACCAGTTTTCTAATGCAGTTTATGATGGGGTTGCACAAATACCTGTGCTTGTATTCTGCTACAGGTTAAGTGGTTGTTGTAAGAACAGAAATGTCCATCTGCTGGCAAAAGAAAATGGGACTGATTTTTAAGTTGTATGCGATATTATTATCAGGGTGCTCTAAAAAGTCTATTCCTTCAGCTGCTGAACAATTCCTCTCCTTACCACATATTACGTATCCAGAGGGAGAGGAGAAATCAGTCAGATTTGCTATTGTATCTGACTTAAACATTAGGAAATAAAGGAAGGCAATACAAATATAAGGAAATAATGTGAAAAGTGCAGAAAGGGGACTTAAAGTTTAATGATCTGTGCTGGTGAAAGGCTGATACCCTAAGGAATGTCTAAGCTAGAGTGTCTTCTAGCTCTTGTATATTGCTTAGGACATGTGAAGCTGCATCCTTTAGTTTTGAAAACTGGAGTAAAGGTTGAATCGATAGAAAAAGCCCAGAATTTACAGCAATGAAAATTAGATACTAGTAGAAATTAATCTCTTTTGTTGCTAATACTTACATAGATAAGACGTGGGTAAAATTACAAGCAGTCAGTAAAGTAGAAGTGGAAGAACATACTGGCTAAAAATTCTATTGATATTTTATTGAATTTTTAGCTCTTGTTTGTTTTTTGAATATTTAGTCTGTGTATATAATATTCATAGCCATTTGTTGAATGGGAGCTCCTAGAAATTTCGAATAACTAGCAAATTGATCAAGATATGCAAAGTAGCTTAATTCCACACTTGGAAGTGGTATTTCTGAAAAAATAATTTTGACAAACACACATGACAGGGGAGCATTTTGCTAGTATTTTTAGGATCACATAAAGACTTCAATCTAACATAGAAAATTTCTTTTATGAGAAGAGGCAGTAAAGTAATGCATTCTGTCAGACCTCTACACAGGATAACAACTATCAGTCTCTGGCATTTTGGATCCCACTTTTCCCTAGGTCAACTCTGTCTGGTCCAATCAGTGGGACTTGCAATGTGAATGGAAATCTTCTTACTGCCTTTCAGATAATCTGCCTCTCATGTGATGTGAAGGATTTCTTTTTGTGAGTGTGAAACTGTTAATTAAGCTGCTTAGTTGATCAGTTGTATGTACTTAACTGTTGCGTATCATAGCAGAATTTTTTTATTATTGTATAGTATGAAAGTGACAGGACTGCAGGTGCTTGCATATAATAGTGGGCTTTTTTTTTTTTTTTTTGGGCTTTTTTTGCAGATGCTAGCTGAATTTGCAATAAAATAAATGGAGTTTTTAACATGAACATGGAAAGATTTCTTGTTTACTGAAGTGCAAGACTATTTTGGTGGCACTATTGGATTTGATTCATGCCTTCTAAGTCTGATGGATAAATGCATAGCTGTGTAGGGGGTGAGAAGGGAGGCTGGAGTCCAGGATTCCCACAGTTAAGCTGAGAAGGTTAAAATGAATAATGGGCAGTACCTTCCTGAGAAGGAGACTGCATCATCCCTAGAGAGAGAGAAAAGTCAGACAAAGGTTAAGGGAAGGAGAATTAGTTAGTCAAAGGGCACCAGCCAAGGTAACAACTAATTGTGGTTTGGAGAAAAGGCTTTATTGTTTGCAGAGGTCTGTTACACCCTGATGTTCTTGACTTAATAGCTAAAAAGTGAAATCCTCCCTTTTAAAGGTTTTGTGTTCTGCTATTGTTTCTGGAGCTTATAATGAGATGGTCCCAGGGGGTTGAATGCCTTTTTCTATCTTTGGAAATTGATATTTGTTTCAGCAGGTGAGTCAAAAGGCCTGAAAGGAAACTGTGGTTTTCTGCAGCATTAAGTCACCGGCAAAAATACATATTTCAGAGTACACCTGAAAGTTTAAAGTGAAAAACTCACTGGTTTAGGTCAGAAATAATTAGAACTTCAGACAAATTAATTTTTGGGACTGTAAAAGGAATATATTGATCCAGGGTGGAACA